TTTTTCTATCTGACCCAGGTACCAATTCCAGATCTCGGATTGGGGTGTAGGTGGCTGGTGTTAACGAGTAAGCCAAAAAAAAGCCCCTACAATCTCGATCGATAATTACGCTCAACTACTGATTGCTCGTCGGTTTCGTCATTTGCAGGGCCCATAATTCAAAACGGAACAGGTCTATTCCGCCACAAAATTAGGTTGCTAAACAATGAACCAATTATCCGCGTTGCGTAGGTGCGTATCTGTTATAGTGCTGTTGCTATGGCGACAAACAGGTCACCATATATGGTCTGGCAAGGGGTTTGGCAACTCACCTCTCCGGCTTGAATGATGAAGAAGGTTTCGCCGACCTCACCTTGCCGAATGATGTAATCGTCTTGATCGTAGGACAACTAAAAGATGAGGAAGTTGGAAGAGGGAATGTCAAGCTAAATAAACATACATGAACGCAGTAGGGCAAGAAAGCTAATGTAAAAAAAGACGGATCGAGGCGCATCTAGGCCACGGAGGATAGCAGACCTGGAAATAAATTACGAAGGCACACCCTACGATACCCTAAATATTCACAAAAACACAACAAATACCATAGATGTAGTTAACCCATTTTGAATATATCTGGGGGAGGCAGACAGCACGGCCAGTTCTGACAAACTAAAGACGTTTAAAAGACGCGAAAATGCTGAGATGACAATCAACTTGGTTGATTAAGTCTGAGTTTGCAAGAATTGACAAAACCCCGTATCAACCTGCCGAGGACGGCAGACAAACAAATGAGGCACAGTCTGCACACTTCTATTTCTAGCGAGGAAGCATTCAAGTGAATTCAGTTGAATATTTTTTTAGAAACTTGGGAAATAGCCTTAAAACCATCTGATCTGTTATCACGTCTAACATTCTGAGACTTAGAATGTTCCCGAAGACCTTCAAATTGGTGGACTAATGCTCACCGATCAGTTACGATACTAACTCGTCCCGTTCTGAAGAAAAAGAAGAAGCGACCACTGCGCGCATGTCTCACACTTTTCTATGATTACCTATGAGTAAGGATTCCCGAAGGAATCCGAAACTTCAGGACAATAAGCTCTTTTTCCAGTGGTCACTTCTTCTTCTGAATGCTTCCTGGAACTCGCATATTTAATTCTATCATCCCGTACTGTCTTGGGACGCACTTTCGAGCCAGGCAAGCAGCTGCGTAGCGACAAAGACAAGGGAGACGCGAATGGCTAGTCGTTGTATGGTTGCAGAACGGGACGAGTGAGTCCTGTAACCGATAAATGAGCGCTTATCAACCAATTTCAGTATTCACTATCTAAATCTCCAAAAAGGAGATTGTGGTGCAATGGGTTAGAGCGTTGGACTGCAAATCGACAGATCGCGGTCTGGAGCCCGGGTGGTGCACCACCTGGAGGTGGGTATGACTGGTTGATGACGGCTGATGATCCAGAAATGGCCATCCCAGTCTCAATGGTCTTGTCTGCAGTCTTTATCTTCCAATAAATTCGACGTTGTTCTTGCAAACTATCGTGTTGCTCTCTGCCCTCCTCCCGCCACACACTGTCATTTACATTTTGTCATGTTTTAGACCTGTCGATCCAAACTTGGATCGCAAATTCCCCGCTAGACTTCTAGGGAGCCCTATACGCGAATTGGTAATGAAGTGATGTTTTCTTAAGTAAAAGAGCTTAGCTTACGAAAAGAAAGCGAACTTTATTTCGAGTCGCGCAAACAACTGAAGGAACCCGCGGTCGGAATGCCTTAATGTGCATTCTCTCATACCTTATGTATGTTATACAGCGAGAGGCGCAGCTGAAGAGCACGCGCGAAATTGAGTGGTTCCACTAGATTCTGCTGTCTATGCAATCTTCAAAGAAACCTGACCCTAATCCCAAGGGAAATCATTCCCGTGACTCCACCCTAACATAAAGCGAAACTATAGCCTTAATGTTAACCCTAGCCTAAACCTAAACTCTATAGTTAACACGAGACCAAACCATCAGCCCTGAGCTAATCCTGAGACTAACGTAAAATTCTGAACCTAATCTCTAAACTTAAACTTAATTCCGGTGATAGACACGGCTTCTTCTTCTTCTTCTTCTTCTTCTTCTTCTTCTTCCTCCTCCTCCTCTTCTTCTTCCTCCTCCTCCTCTTCTTCTTCCTTCTCCTCCTCTTCTTCTTCTGCTTCTCAATCTAGAACCCTAACGCTCAAATTACTCCTAAACGTAATTCTTCCGAAATTTGGGGTGAGTTCTGTTCTCGTGTCGTGCTTAGGAAACCATGCAAGTCAACCTTACCGACTACATTTGTGTAATTGGTAACTCCAAGATCGCAAATGTACCCGTAGTATTCTTTAGTTAACGACTGACTTTCTTAGCTAACTTTGCCCAATTAAGAAGAAGGATTCACTCAAAATGACCAAAAACGAATGCACGCACGAGCACTGAACTGAACAAACAATTAATTATTTAGACTTTACGCAGATGCTAGGCTTTTTTCGAACAAAAACATTATCCGACATGACGGGAACACCGGTAGCTAATTAAGAATGAAAATGTTTTCAGTGATTTCAAGATGCAGGACATTTTAACTGTCTCCCAAGCGCAGGAAATGGAACCAGTTTCAAGCTGCAAATGGAGAGGCATCGGGCACATACACTCTTCAAAAACCTGTCGGGCTCCTCTTCGTTTGGCTACGAATCTGATTTTGCAGACCTCCCCTACCAGCAGTTTACCAGTGAAGAAATCATATTTTGCATATGCAAATTCCATTTAAAAGTATTTTTTGGAACTTGTTTGCTCACTGAGGAAAGAATGCACAACATTGAAACTGTCAAACTGACCTGTTCGAGAACATCGGCGAGTTTGTGCAGTTTCTGGTGTGAGAGTTTTTTGAATGCAGGGACACTACAATAAAAGGAAAAAAAACAAGGCTTTCAAAAGGCTGTTCAAAACAGGAGTGTATGTGCAAGCTAGCGCCTCCGAATCCGATTTTCTTGATTTTCGTTAAATGAAAAATGTAGCTGCCCGTCACAGTCGAGCAGTTTTAGCGCAGCTTATAAATCATGTGGGGTGGGGACAACGGGCTACTGAAATTAAAAATCCCCAGCCACATACCCACACTGAAGCCATAAATATTCGAAAAGTGGTGACTTTTGGACCGCAAAGAAGTAGCCCCTGTTGCCAGCCCACAAAAAACATTCCAATTAACAAAATTCTGTGTTGATGTTAAGGTTCTTTAGTACCCTAAGCTATTTCAGAAGAAAAAGTAGATTTGACTGTTGGAACATAGTTTTTTAAGCCTGACGTTTCGGAAGTTACTTTGAACCCATCATCAGCGATGGTTTTAGAAAGGAGTAACTGAATCTGGTGAAAGGTTCGAGAGGGAATCCACAAGAACAGGCCAATACTGCTCCATAATGTGTGAAAATAAGCAACGAGGACTAGCAAACCATGCGCCACGCGCTAGTGATTTCCTTTTCAAGAGTGAAAAGGAGAGGTCAATAAGACCTAAACGGAGTTTCTTTCAAAAAAGCCCTCGTGCGCTAAGATAAAAGATCCTCTTCTCTGTTATATGCCCAGTTAGAGCTCGGTGGTGACTCAATAAAAACAAGACGACACGGAAAATATGCCAGCAATGTTTTTTTTACGAAGAGCATACCTTTCGAGGAACTTGAGGTTCTCTTTGTGCTTGTGAAGCGAGGAAATCATCATGATCTGTTGGTAGACCTGACGATCGAGTGTCCAGAACTTGGCGTTTGTCAGTGCTGAAACGAAGATATGAAAGTCAGCTGTGAAAGACTGCAGATTAATCAACACAATTAGCTGATAAAATCAGAATGTACGGTCGGAACCTCTTTTATACTGCTCCTGACAGGGCAATGAACTTGACCCTTCCTCCCTCCCCATAACATACATGATCTTGCGCTGGTGTCCAGGAGTGGCAAAATATTCCCCAACCTAAACCCTGACCCCAACTTTAGCACTAAACACAACTTCAAGTCTTATCCCAAATCTAACCCCGATTTCGTCGGAATTGAACATTCCTGTTTCCGTGCCTTGTGGGGGCGGAGAAGGAGATGTATGAATATTTTTTACCGAATGGGCAAACCAAATGTCTTGGTTAGCATTTGCTCTTCCCTTGACAGATTGTAAACATTCTACAGTGATGCGAAACAAACAGGCTGTCAATCAACATTGGGATTTCTGTTCGAACTGTATAAGAAGTATTGGGGAGCGAAGTCTTCATTTCATAATGCTTATAAATGCCATTTGAGGAGGAAAGACAGGATGTGAGAGGAAGAAGAAGAAAAAAAAGAAGGAACAAAGTCTTGAATACCATGAAGAAATAAGACTTTTCAATCATCTTCGCCTTTGCGTCTGATACCGTTTTCCTTATTATCACTTTTCTTCTTGCCTACGTATCCGCCTCCCGAATTAATTACTGGAACACAACACGTCACGGCGTTTAGCAAAGAAAGCATGTCCGTATACTAAGCCTGGATTTGGAAATATTGACTGGCTGCTAGGCAGGATACGAGCAGATCGGTTATTATAAAGACAAAAATAACCTCAAATATGCCACACTGAGAAAACAGGAAGCCCCCGAGTAAGGCTAAAGTACCTGTCGCTTACCTCATGAGGGAAACCTCGTTGTTTTGCCTTCGAAATAAACAGTCCTTAATTCACTCAAAACTCCCCCAGTGTGCATTGGGATGTGAAAAAAAACACTACAACCACTTTGAGTGACTTAGTGCATGAGGCAGAAATTATCATCCATCTCACTCCCCCTGATCCCCTCTAATTGCAGCTCTGCCACCAGATTCAAATGAAATTTTCCCATATTCCGCCCCCCTCCCCCAGTAAGTTCTACCTAATGTACGGAAACTCCGTTTAGTTGAGGAGTACGTTGCCCCCACCCTTCTTCCCTGCCCTAAATTGCTTGTTGCGCATGGGAGCATTTTTAGGCAAACTTTCCCCTATAGTGCACTAAAACCCAGTGTGGGATGCTGTTGTAAGACGGGCTGACGCGGGGAAGTAAGGGTTGAGCGCTAAATGACTAAGGCTCTACACGTGCCAGGTTGGCAAAACCCATGCGATGGGTGGGGAGAAAGGGAGGCGAGAACTTGCTGAGTGATGAGTGATGATCGTAAAATAACAACGTAAAGTACTCAATGCCGGATTTGCGCGCGGCGTGCGCACAT